GGGAGACTCCTTAAAGGGGACCCTTCTGAACCGCCCTACTTCTGGCCCTCTTACAAAGGAACCGCGTTGAGAAGATACCCGTTTAGGGTTTATAGGGTTTAGGGTTTATAGAGTCTAGGGGTTTAGGGTTTAGGGTTGAGGGTTTTAGGGTTTAGGGTTTAGTTTAGGGTTTAAGGTTTCTAATCCAAACTCCTAGTTTTGGGGTTGTGCGTGCCAGCACGACTGAAGGTTGTCTACGAGGTTCTATAAAGGGCTATGCAAAGGAGCTATGGTCTATATGGTTCTGCAAAGGGTTATGCAAAGGAACTATAGGGCCTACAGATCATTTTTACTTTGTCTTGTATGGCTTAGGGCTTTCGTTTTGAGGGCTAAACCCTAAACCCTAAACCCTAAACGGTTTTCAGGATTTGCTTGCGGGTTTGGGCATCCCAGGGCTGGGGCTTTGGATTTGTGCTGTGAACGCTAGGCTTCGGAGTGGCCAGGTCTTCAAGCTGGACTGAGGGGTTTAGGGTTTAGGGTTCAGGGTTTAGGGTTCAGGGTTTAGGGTTCAGGGTCCAGGGTTTAGGGTTTAGGGTTTAGACTCAGGGTAGAAAGGTTCAGCATTTCAGGCTCTGGGAGGAGTTATGGACGTTTAGGGTTTAGGGGTTGTCTTAACCCGCGGCTCTGCAACAGCAGCCAGGAGTTAGAAACACAAATCCTGTGCCAAAACCCCTGTATGGAGATCATGTTAGATTTCCGAGCAGGCTTGAACAGCTGCGAAACGTGTTCGGAACATGTATTTCTCCGCAATTGTAGCTCTTGTTCTCGCACCCCGCAAGCCGAAATCGTTTTTAACATGCTAAGCTTTCCTGCTATGCGATCCAGAGCCCTGAACCCTGAACCCTAAATCGGAAAAGCGCCGGCGCAATAAACGAGCCGAAACCTTGAAGCCCATGTGCAATCTCGGGTCTGAACAATTCGTAACATTCTGCCCTCATAGCTCGTGTGGTTGTTATACAGACCACACCTCCGAAACCTCTTCATTTTTTCAGGCACATGTACTGTAAGTCGTATACCCATAGAAGCATGAAGCACCATGAAACCTTGTTCTAATTCTTGAGGCCCCTGTAGTACCCCTAAGCCCTAAACCCTAACGGCCAGGTGACTCTGTGCGTGTTTAAAGTAACCGGCGAGACGAACACCGACGACCTTTCGCCGGCCCCGGATGCCTGGTCTCGCCCAGCCACTCGGTTGTCAAGTGGCACATTTTAAGGTTTAGGGTGTCAAGTGGCACATTTTAGGGTTTAGGGTGTCAAGTGGCACATTTTAGGGTTTAGGGTTTAGGGGCGTAGGGTTTTGTTCCTCTTCCGAAAGTTTGTGTTGTTTATTCATTTATTGTCTGCGGTTTGGTTACTTTTATTTGTTGATGGTGTCTTGCTAGTGTTATTCTTTCCGTTGTTGGAGGGTGTTCCCATCGAAGTTAATATAGAAGCCTAGATAATTACCTATACTACTTCGGGGGGTTCCTGATTACAAGTATGGTATAATGGGCCCCAAACCCTTATTCTAATTACTAAAGCCCCTAAACCCTAAACCCTTATCGAAGCTGAACATAGCAACGGGGTAGCCAACCTTCAGGACATCCCGCTGCACGCCCTGGCGATGCTGCCCCCCGGCCCTGAGAGTTGTCAGGGTATAGAGGGGTTTGAGGATTTCGGGCGGTCCCCAATGCCCTAATGTAGGGGCCTTCATAATTATAATAGGGGTTCGGAGGTTCCTTATTATGATTATAGTATACTATACCCCCCCTCAAGCCCTATTCTAATTGTTCAGGCCCCTATATTAAACCCTAAACCCTAGACGCAACGGGGGTGGGGCCCGGGTAGGGGGTCGTAGCAGCCTATGCCATCCAGAGAGATAGATCTTTGAAGGGCTCAGGTAGGGCGCTTCGAGGTTCGGGGATCATGCTTTCAAAAGGCTCGAAAATTTCTGGCTCGAGGCAGTCAGGAATGATCTGGCCCTCCATACCAGGCTTATTGATTGGCAGCAAGCCAATAGGGTGCCAAATGCCAAAGAACTATATACACACGCAGAGTCTGTGGGGAATCCGCACCTAGTCTCCCGAAACGACATTCTAGCAGTCAAGGCTTTTAATCCCCACGCCCGAACCCTTACCTTACGCTTTATTTCAACCCTGTGCGCTGAACCTTTTTCCGGACGTGAGCCAGGACCTCAGAAGAAACGGAGGCATGAACCCTAAACCGTATGATCTGTAGAGATCTGCTCCTGTAGGAAGTTTCCTCGTGACGGCATCACCAATGCCGCGCAGCAGATCGCAGACCTGAAAACGAATCCTCGGCTGAGTAGCTTTGTGATGGGATTTTGGGTTCAGGGCTTTCGGGTTCAGTGTCGGACATTTTCAGGTGGGTAGTTACCGTTATAGGAGCCTTATAGAAGGTCTATGTACCTTATGGAAGCCTTATAGAGGCCCTATATACCCTAAACTCCCCGCCTGTAGTCTCAATTCAGGGGTTGGAAGTTTCACAGTTTCGGACCCCTAAACCGCCAATCCCAGAAACCCCTCAGCCCCTAAGCCCCTTGCCGTGTCAGATTTTATGCGGCTTTACTGCTGCTGGGGTTCACCGCTGCCATGCGACGCCGTCAACCAAGCTAAAGGGGCTTTTAGTTGGGGTTTTGGGCTTCTGTATAGTCTAAGTATAAGAACAGGCGAGAAATATGGGCAAGTCTTCACGAAGGCTTCTACATTAGTTAAACTCAGAACCATCCTAAGGGTTTTGTGAAGTTCTATGGATTCTATGGCGCGTTTACCCAAACCCTAATCTCGACCCCTTCGTGGCCTAAATCCCCTTTTGACGTATGATCAAAGAGTATCTTACATTATACTAGAACACAATGTAATAGCAGATAGTAAACTAGAACTAACAACACATTGTTATGATATAGTCTAAAGTTCTATGTCTTTATCATTATATCATAGTCTTGTCTCTATAAAAAGTATGACATAATACTAAATAGATGATTAAATACATGAATATATATATATATATAATACAGTACTTCTTAAAGAAAATATAAGCTTGCCCCATTGCTTCCGGCCCCGAGGGGCTTTGAGAGTCCGTGAGGACTTCGTGAGCCTGGAAAGGCCCAAGTCCCAGGTCTTTCAACAACGGGTTTGGGGTTTAAGGCTTTGGGTTTAGGGTTTAGGGCTTAGGGTTTAGGGTTTAGGGTTTAGGGTTTAGGGCTTAGGGTTTTGGGTTTAAGGCTTAGGGTTTAAGGCTTAGGGTTTAAGGCTTAGAGTTTAGGGCTTAGGGTTTAGGGCTTAGGGTTTAGGGCTTAGGGTTTAGGGCTTAGGGTTTAGGGTTTGGGGCTTAGGGTTTAGGGTTTAGGGTTTGGAGCTTACGGTTTGCAAAGGGCTTAGGGCTTAGGGTCTAGGGCTGTAGGGGTTAGTTCAGGGTCTAAGGTTTAGGGCTTAGGGCTCCGGGTTTAGGGCTTACGGTTTAGGCTTAGGGTTTAGGGCTTAGGGTTTAGTGTTTGGGGCTTAGGGTTTGCAAAGGGCTTAGGGCTTAGGGTCTAGGGCTTTAGGGGTTAGTTCAGGGTATAGGGTTTAGGGCTTAGGGCTCAGGGTTTAGGGTTTTTACAAGTGATAGTAAACATAATAGTAAGCATCGTAATACGAGCAAAGGTGGTACATAATAGTTCTGATAAGGCGTGGATTGATAAGAGCAATAAGAGGTAATAGTAGTAACATTAGAAATGTTACTAACAAATATACAAGCCCGGTACCCAAACACCAAAACCCAATTCCTAAACCATATGCCTTACTCAAGCTTTCAAGGTTCAGGGTTTACTTTCCAAGGTTTAGGCCCTGGGAAGACCCTCGGGGAATGGCTCTAAACCCTAAACTGCTGGGAAGGGTTTAGGGTTTAGGGTTTAGGGTTTAGGGTTTAGGGGACCCACCAAGGAAAGGCCACCAGCTCGCCTACGTCGGAGACGTTGTGGGCACGGGCTCTTCACGTAAGTCGGCCACGAACTCGATCCTCTGGTACATGGGTCGGGCGTCCAAGAGAAGGGCAGTTTTCGTAAATGTAGGGGTTAGAGGCAGAGCTTTCGGGTTTTGGCTGCGGTTCAGGGCTTTTCCTCCTCGGGTTTCCAGGATTTATCTATCCTGGCACTTGGCTATTTTGCTTTTACTCAATTGGGGGCGCCCGTGCTTCAAGATCCTGGATGTTGCCGGTTTGATTCGGGGTTTTGGGTTGAGAGCCTTTGGTGCCCCGTTGAAGACATTGGCTTTGATGTCAGCCCTCCGAGTCCGGGCAAGGTAAGGGCGGAAATATATTTACCAATACTATTTGTTGAGGGGCTCCTTAGTACGGTTCTAACAGAATATACAACAAAACCCTGTTCTAATTGTAAGGCCCCCAGATTATGTAGCACTCGCAACCACATAGAACAAGCCGAAAGCCCTGTGAATCATAAGCACTAAAGTCTTAGGGTCTTCGGGTTTGTCTTTGGCTCAGGGTTGCCGAGGGAAAAAGTTCCGATGGCAAACACCAAAGACTTGAACGGGTTTAGGGTTTAGGGGTTTAGGGACGTCGTGAGCATGCAATTCGGAATCCAGCCGCAAACCCACCTCGTCTCGAGTGTTCTACATTGGAACTAAGAAGGGCGCGTGTGTCGGCATGACGATTTTTCTGCTAATCCCAGCAGGGGAATTTGGAACATAGACCAAATCGACATATCTCGAACCAGGCATCGTGAACATCGGCCGCAGACATTAACCCTAAACCCTAAATCTTAAAACCCTCAACCCAAAGCCTGCAACCCTAAGCCCTAAACCTTAAACCCTAAACCTTAAACCCTGAACCCTAAACCCTAAACCTGCAACCCTAAACCTGCACCCCAAACCCTAAACCTTAAACCCTGAACCCTAAACCTTAAACCCTGAGCCCTAAACCCCAAAATCCCCAAGTTCCAACCCCAAGACTGACGTCCCAGCAGGCCAAGACATCCCTTGCGCTCCGAACAAGCGCACCGGCGGCTTCGTGATCGGCGGCGTGATTGCGCCCATCTTTTTCAACACCATGGAGGACCCTGAACCCTAAGGTTTAGGGTTTAGGGTTTGGGGTTTCGTGTTTAGGGTTTGGGGTTTGGGGTTTAGGGTTTGGGGTTTGGGGTTTAGGGTTTGGGGTTTGGAGTTTTAGAGCTTATAGGTTTAGGAGCACCATGGAGGACGAAACGGTTCCGAAGGGGGTTTGGGGTTTAGGGGCTCAGGGCTTTGTTTGGGTCTTCCTGTCTCAGCGCTTTGAGGCTCAGAGCGTTTTGGCCTCGTCACTAAGGTCTAGGGTTTAGGGTTGGAGGGTTTAGGGTGTAAGGTTAGAGGGTTTAGGGTTTACCTTGAGAACCCAAAACCCATTTTGCTGTAGGTTCTTATTATAAACCCTAATATGGGATTCATAGGGACCCTACAGAAAAGTAGGTTTTGGGGTTCTTAAGGTAGGGTTAGAGGGTTTAGGGTTCAGGGTTTAGAGGGTTAAGGCCTACGTAGTCGTGAATGTCTTGCTGCGACGGGACCCAAGAGTTGAAGCCAGAAGTTTTTTCTGGCAAGCATGACTTAATAATATTAAGTGCCGGTATACGTCCGATTTCACCAACCCTGTTCTAGTTGTCGACCAACCTGAATCCCGAAAAGGCACCCTTTTGTAAAAGCCCCCTTTCAACTTTGCCGAATAGGAACCTAAAGAATTGCCAATACGATTTTTGCGGGGTTCCTCACTCGAATTCTAGTATAGCATGCCCCGAATCCTTATTCTAATTCTTACGGCCCCTACAATTATGCAGGCTGTCTCACTTTTCGGGGGCTTCCCCTAAACCCTAAACCCTAAACCAAAGCCCTAAACCCTAAACCCTGAACCCTAAACCCTCTTTTCGATCTCCCGTGCCCTGGCTCTCAACCCAGATTGGAGGACTCTGGTGCACTGCCTTTGGAGATGGATGTCAAAGACATGCCTCTCAGCTGAGGGACCGGGGTTATAGGGTTTGGGGTTATAGGGTTTGGGGTTATAGGGTTTAGGGTTTGAGGGATCACGGGGCCGACAGTCTCGACAGTTGGTCGTACAATCCGCACACCTAAACCCTAAAGGAAGCCTAAAGCTGCACACCCCTCAAACCCCAACCCCTAAACACTGTCAGATACGAAAGGCTTAAGATCAAGTCTTAGCAGACGAAGCCGGGCTTACGACGTAGGGTCGACGGTTGAGGGTATAGGGTTTAAGGTTTGGGGTGTATAGGGTTTAGGGTCTAGGGTTTAGGGTTTAGGGTGTATAGGGTTTAGGGTTGGGGTTCAGGTTTCAGGATCTGGGTTAGGTGTATTGCCCTAAACCCTAAACCCTAAACCCTAAACCCTAAACCCTAAACCTAAGCCTAAACCCTAAACCCTATGCCCTTTGCAGAAGCATTGCCCAGGAACATGGGCGACCTCATCGATCTGTGCGTCTATGTGCCCTAGGCAGCATTTGCAAGTCAGCTTCACAAACAAATCTACGCCCGAATACCTTAGTCCTTAGAGTTAAAGCCGCTGCAAACGCCTTTTTTTTTTTTAGTTTTGAAGCTCTTAAAACCCATCAAAATCCCATGCAGACTTCATGTTGCAGTGGCAGACTGTATTTACATACAAAGATTGCACCCAATGTTCCAGGCCTTGACTTTGGGTCAGGCGGGTCGTCGTGACCCGGATCTTGGTGCCAACTTTTACACCTATGGGTGTTTTGGGGTTTAGGGTTTA